GATTCATCAAGTGAGAGGAATGTGGCTGAATGGGTTCTCAAACCAAATGGCCCAAAATTGGAATCTAGATTTGGATTTTTGCATATCTAAAAAATGTTAAACATGTTAGAAGTTTGGAATTGCTTTCTCTAGTACAATTGAAATTTGACTTATTTTATGTTTGTTTTTCGGGTAATTAAAGTTATTTTCATTGTGATAATGTGGGAGACAAAGAGAAGGATATGTTGGAGAAGAGAGATAAGTGAATGATTAATTAAGTGTGGGTCTCATTGTATTTAATTTAATTTAATAAAAAAATTACGATAATTATACATTAAAAAGATAATTAAGGTAAGATAATAATTGAAGTAGCAATGTAGCATTAGTAGACTCACACTTTTGAAGTGAGTGGATAAAATAATAATTAGAATTAGTATTAATTAATTACTATCAAACTTTATAAAAAAAAGTCATACATGGAAAAAAAAATTATCCATCTTCTCAATAATAAAATGAATTCAAAATTTTCATGTAATATTTTAAGTTTAAAATTTTGTAGTATAAAATCACTTAACCGTCCATATCAACATTTAACTAATGGAAGGATCAAGTTGTTAATAGAAAATTAAAGTTTAAGGATGATTTTGATAATTTTTTAAGCTTAAGGATCAACTTGGTCTAAAAATTAAAGTTTAGGGACCAAAATGAAATTTAACCCAATGAGAAATACGAAAACGAAGCCTACGGTGGTCCTCCCCCTAAATAAATAAAAGAAGGAAGACGAAGAAGAAGAGGGGTCAAGTCAAGCTCAGGTCCCTAGCCTCCAAGCAATTATTGTTGGGTACTCGTTGTTGGTCCCACATGGCCTTTGTTATGGGGCCAATAGCTTGCTTTCTGTTCTTCATGGTTCATCCCATCACAACACTGTTACTAATGTCGTTAGTTTGAGGATTGTAAAAAATTAGGGGCATAATCCCAGTTTTGATACAGTAACAGTAGTAAAAATTAGCAAACGATCTCGACTTTGATTGAGCTCTGCTTTTCAAATTTTCTTGAGGAAAGAAAGCTTTAAAACCTATTTGGTTGCTCACTTCTTTTTAAAAGAATTTGAAGAATTCGATTAAAAATTTAATTAGTTTAGTTTAGGATATTAATTTTTTTGATACATAAATCAAAACACAATATAATTAGTTATAAAAAAAAAGATAATAGATTATATTTATAATAGAATTAATTAGTTTTAAAAATAAGTAATTATATTAATATAATTTATTTTTTTTTATAATCAATTATATCCACTTTCTTTAAAAAGAAACTTTTTAAAAAGGTGAATACAATGCATTACACTTTTTCTATAAAAAATAATAATAATATGGTTCGCCCAGGCCTTAGGGTTTATGTGAGGTGGAGGTCAGGGTTTCGAGTTCTGTCACCGCTGTGAACTTCACCAATTTGCGACTTAATGGTCGCGCGTCTCATTTGAGAGAGTGAAATATTCACCATTCTGAAAATCTCAGTTATTAACAACTAACTCACACTAACTTCCTAACCATTACCCTTTAAAATAATAATAATAATAAATAATAATATTATATCTCAACCTACGTGTTTAAAACTTTTTAGAGAACATGTGATTATAATGCATTACATTTCCTTCTATAACCAATTATATTATATGTCAATCTACATGCTAAGAAAGTGACATCCTAAGCCAAGCCAAATAAATTTTTAGTCGACTATCGTGAATTCCCTTTTTTGAAAAAGTGACCAACTAAACAAACACCAAGTTTCTTCTTAATCCTTTTCTTGGTAACTGTTTCGGCAGCTTCACAATCCAACACTGTTGAAGTCTTCAACTGCTTTTATACCTGAAAATCCCGAGGATGTTTCCTCAGGGAAAACACTCCAACGCTCAAGTCAACAATACTCTATCTTCTAGAGAGAGATGCTCTCAAGGAGTAATTGCGGAGAGAGAAGCGTAGAGATTAATTACCTTCTTCGGAGGTGGTTGGGGGGTATTTATAGCCTCAAGGGCTGACATGTATCTGCACATGTAAGCCTCTCATTGGCCCATGTGGTGCTGCCCACGTGGGTATGTCTCCTCCTCTTGGGCCTGTGGGTGCGTAGTTGGGCCTGCTGCATGTGGCCCTAAGAGGGCGTTGGGCCTAATCCCAACATTACTCCCCCTTCGGTGTTCGGTTGACGAACTGGGTTAGGAGTCCTGTTAGCACGGTGTTTGACCCTGAGGATGAGGAGTGATGTTTTATGTTCATGTCCACCCTCACGCACGACCGATCTAGGCGGCCTGAAGCCATCGCGGCCAAGCCTGTTGTGCATGTGTATGCCGGCTTCCTATCGAGCAGGCGTGGGGGAGCTGGTGTTAAAACCAGGCGTGCTCAAACCAGGCGTGCTCGGTGCATGTGTTTTGTGCCATAGCTGAGGTAAAAATGCATGACCGGAGTCAGAGCGGCCGGAGCCAAGGCATTATGACCTAAAGCCAGGAGACCGAGGTGACGACCTAGAAGTATGAAGCTCATTAGTGACGAGCTGAAACCAGGAAGCTCAGTAGTCACGAGCTGAAACCAGGAAGCTCAAGAGTGACGACCTGGAACCAGGAAGCTCGGTAGTGACGAGCTGAAACCAGGAAGCTCAAGAGTGACGACCTAGAAAATATGTCATATTTGGGACGACCTGGTGAGTGTGCTCGCAACGGCGAGCTGATGTGACGAGATTGGTTACATATCAGCCGTTACGATCTGAATCTTATGGATTTTGAAAATCCACCAAATCTCCCTCAGAGATTCGGTTGATCTCCCCGTATCCCTCTGTCTTCCCCACCATAAATGCTGGCTCAGCATTTGAGGGATGTGACAGCTAAAGCCGGCGCACGTTATGCAGAAGGGACGTTAAGCGTGTGCCACGTGTAGGACGCGAATTGGCGCGTCAGAGACACGCGTACAGCCATTAAGACTGGCATATTTCCCTTGCGTGACCGTTTCTTTTTCCATTTTCACTTTTGAGTTTACTTGAAACCTTCTGAAACTCTCTGAAGCGAGGCAACTCCGATCTTGAAGAACAGAACGTCGAACCAGCTTCACGTCATTTTCAGGTAAAATGGTTTCATTGAGGGAACTTACAGAGCAACGAGGTAACCATGGCAGAGAGGGAGAAGAGGAAGGGGTTTTGTCAGTGGAGCCTATCACGATGATAGTGCCGCCTGAGTTGCAGGACTCGCCGGAAACGATGGCACCTGAGAGAAGCACCAGTTCGAGTGCGAGGGATGATGGTGGCGACCATGCTACTGCGTCGTCTAGCAGCTCGTCTACTGAAGAAACACCCAGCCGTGAAGAAGGAATGGGGGATGTGGTGAGCAGTGTCTCAGATCGGCCGGTGATTGGGGAATGGGAAGGCGTGACAATCCCGGGCAGGTTGAGTAACCTACGAAAAGCACCGAAGGACCTGCCCATTGGATTCAGGTTCAAGGCTGTACTTCATCACGAAGTAGCAAATTGTGCGCCCTCCATAAGTGGGTATAAACGACTGGAGGAGATGGTGAGGGCGTTCCACATCCCCAAGACCATATTGCTGTGGACTGGCAGGCAGAACGAAAGGGCGTGCACAGTGTCGCAAACGGGCTGGATCCCCGTATATGTGGACCACTTTGATGACGGCCTGCGGTTTCCCCTGCCCGGATTGGTGTTTGACCTGCTGGCTGATTACGAGCTGGCGTTGACGTAGCTGACTCCCAACAGCATAAGGTTCATTATTGGCTTTATGCTGTTGTGTGAGCGATTAGAGGTACCTGCCAAGGCGATCCTGTTCAGGTCGCTGTTTCAATGCCGGCTGTGTCCTAACTCCCGAGGCGCGAAGTGGTACTACCTTTCCTGGAGAGACAAAAGCCAGTTGTTCAAGAATGTCCGGAACAAAGTGGCGAGGTGGAAGAGGCAATTCATATTTGTTCGCGACACGCGAACAGAGAGGATAAGCAACGACCTCGCTGCCCGGCTGTCAGAATGGCGCACGCCAAATGCCCACATCAACTACCCACAGCTGCTGCCCCGGGATGTAGATCTAAAGAACAAGCTGCTTGAGTATGCGAAGAGGAAGGGTCTGATAGATCTAAAAGCCCTGGTTACCTCGGAGCAGCTCGTCGTGTTTGGGTTTGTCGACGTGGCAAACCTGTTCACAGAAGGTATACTTTTATTAAATGGTACTAATTCTAGCCGGGCTGAGTCTTATGCGTTTTTTTGTGCAGGAGAAATGAGCAGCATCTTGGAACGCCAATGTTAGCGAGCCCAGAGCTCACGAGGCCGCGGGGCGAGCAGCGGGCAACAAAGTCAAACGCGGTTCGACGAGCAGCCACCCCCAGCGCCTCTATCACGCAGCTCGTCACACCGGGGATCCAGCTTGACATCACGGCCACGAGCAGATCAAAGAGCTGATGTTGCCGCTCCGAATGCACGTAGGCGTGCACAAGAGGGGACCGAGAGCGAGGAAGATGAGATTCCCCTTGCAAGGCGCAGAACAAGCGGGGGGACTCAGCCCGTACAGGCGGCCCGTCCTGCAACGGTGCGTTCACCCACTGCACCGCCAGCGACCACGCGGGTAGTAGCAGAGCCCATCTCTGCTTCAGCTTCAACGTCGGGCCCCAGGATCGCTTATCCTGAGGGCTTCTCTTATGTGCGGGCGGAGTGCCAGCCCGCCATGGTGCAAGCTATGCACAACTTCGTGCCCCCGTCGGATAGTCGGCGGGCTGAGGCTTTTGTGCAGCAGCATGGCGGCCAGGTCGCCATGATCAAATTGATGGATGTAAGTCTTTACTCGTGCTTGCTTACTTATGTGTTTTATTTTTCCTTACTAGGTACTCACTATTGTTGCTGTTTGGCAGGCATTCAGCTACGCTGTAGCGCTTTATGAGGGCGAGCAGGAGGCTCGTACGCAGAACGGCGAGCTCGGTTCAAAATGCAAACAACTGGCTATTGAGAAGGCTAGCCTTGTGGACGATGTGAATCGTCTGCAAGGCTCTGAAATGGCGAACCGGGCAGCTGCTGCAGAGAGCCAAGCGGATGAGCTCGCCAACAGGAACAATGAGCTCAGGGAGGAGCTGGAGCACGCTCAAGCTAAAAAAGAGAGCGGGATCCAGGCGGCGAAGGACGAGGCCGCCAGGGTTGAGGAAAGGGCGAAGAAGGCTGAGACCGACAGGGACCGTGCTCAGCACGAGCTGAGCTCCCTTAGGCACCAGGTCGCCGAGGTGGATCGAAACCTTGCTGCTGCCAAGGAAGCGCTGAACGAGCTGAAGGCTTCCCATGCACGTTCTGTCAGCATCGCCCGGGCTCAAGGGGCGGAATGGTTCGTTGGCTCGACTGCGTTTTAGGACGCCGTGGTGGTGGCGTCTGCAAATGTAACCACAGAGATCTACAACGAGATCCGTGGGAAGGTGCTGCAACACCGCCCGGACTTCCCGATTGGCGAACTGGCGTTCTTTGACGGGGAGGACCTGAATGAG